TTCATTTGAAATAAAAATTTTGAAAATCTGACCTTTACCTGCTCACAAGAAGGAATTCAAAATAGCAACTTCTGCACAAAAATTTAACTTTTTCAACCTAACTTTTAAAAATGTTCGGAAATTTAAACAAACCTGGCCACAGGGAGGATTCAAAAAAATAATTTTTACACACAAGTTAAGCTTTTTCAATTTAATTTTTGTAAATGTTCCGAAAATATTGACGCTTTTATTTAATCTTAAATTTTATATTATATATTTTACTATGAAAAAAAAAATTTTAAGTATAGATTGTCTTCTTGGTGAAAATGACTACCGTTTTCAAAAATTTGGTATTTTTGTGTTAAAATTCTGGGTTTTGTATTTTATTTTGTTTTAAAATATCTTACAAGAGGAATACATTGACTTTCACGATTATTATATAATTTAATTGACATAGAATAAAGTTCATGAGACATAAGAAGTTAAACTTATTAAAATTTTTTTGCTTTTTAGAGCTGAAAAAGTAACTTTAAAATTTGAATTAGCTTAAATTGCCAATTTTATCAATCGACGAAAGTGACGAATAGTTGCCGAATTGGTAACTTTTGTGTCTTTCACGCTTAGGGCACGAGGTTAGAATCCGCCAGTGCCAATCGATATTTTTTAACCAGCTTTATCCATACAAACCATTAAAATCATTCATTTCTAATATTTTTAAATTATTTATTACCGAATTGAATTTGATATGATAAAAGTATTCAACTACAAAAGTAAAGAATTTTACTTTGTAATTAATTAATTTTTTAACTTTATTTGTGAGTTCTATTACCAGTCTATAATATTCCAATTGTTTTTGTAACATGTTGCTATATAGATCATAAATCTAAAAAAAAATTGATTTTTAATTTCACCTGAATTTAACAATGGATTTTTGCAATTATAATCAAATTTAATAATACACTTAATTGAGTAAATCTTTTTATTAACTTTTTTTTTTATTAGTTTTTTTAGTTAAAATAAATCATTAAAATTAATTCAATTCTGCATATTTCAATTGTAGAATCTTTTCAAACACCAAAATTTAATTAGAAATGAATACTATGATTTCTATTTAAGTGATCTATTACGATAAAAATGCAAAAAAATTCGAGCTTTTCTGATAAATTTACTGTAAATAGTAATTATAATATTTCTTAACTGTATATTAATTTTAACAATACCATTTTTTTTCTATTTAATGATGTCAATTTCAAACTTGCGAGTTGAGCTAAAAGTTGTGGTAGTAAATTCATTTTTTTTTTTTTATTATAAACTTTCATTTAAAGAAAAAAAATAGTAAGTTAAAAATGATTACTTTTAACATCAATTAAAATCAATAATAATTTGAATACAATTAATTATAACAATTATATATTATATTTTTGAACCTAAGAATTACTAATCTGGATATAATTAAGGAAATAGAAGTTAATGTTGCTTTTGTAATTATCCACTAATTTTTTAAATATAAACACTATCTATAGATTTGAATCAAAGCGTTTCTTATGATGGTGATTTTAATCACTGACAGATTAAATCTATACTGGACCCAACTTGCCACGTCCCCACTGTGCTAGTTTTTTTTTATTTTAATTAATTGAGTAAAAGTTTTCTAATCATGATAATTTTTCATACCATTNTTAAATCTATACTGGACCCAACTTGCCACGTTTACACTGTGCTAGGTTTTTTTTATTTTAATTAATTGAGTAAAAGTTTTCTAATTAAGATAATTTTTCATACCATTCAAACGTATCTGATCAGACCAATCTTTTATTTGTATTTTAAGAGAAGAGTCTAAAAAAACTAATGGGACATCTTCCATGTCCAATTCTTCTACTTCGAAAGAAATATGGATGTCTTGCATGTATACTTCAAGATTTTCTGATTTTACATCAATTCTATCAGATGATTTATTATGAAGATAAGATATAAATGATTTCCGGTTAATGGCTCTACTGGGAGTGTAGGTTGGAGTGATTGATTTTGGAGTCCATAAGTCTTCAGTCTTATACTCCCAATAAGATGATCCACCAAAATCAACATCTTCCTCGCAATTAAGTTCAATATAGTCAATGACCTTTAAAAATATAATAATAATAACAACAACAAATAATAATAGTACTTTTTACTACTAAATGATATATAATGAAATTATTTTAATAAATCTAAATTACACTAAGAATAATATGAATTGTGCTTGTTGATAAATTTAAATTCAGGGGACTGGAACGGATGAGAACATCGACAGCGTCATGGTCTCCTGAACTAATTATTCTAGACAGCTCTATGTCACACGGATGTAAAACCTAAAACAATAAATTATGAATTTTTAAAAAATAAAAGAGCAATAATAATAATTACCATTTTTTGAGCTTTACGTTTCGATGAAATAGCAACCAAGTGGAAATTTGATAAAGATACTATGAGACCTTCCTCATGACCTGGATGGCGACTATAATCTAATAAGAACTCTGTTCTACATAATAGTGATTGATCACGATTTTCTGATTCTTCAATTTCAGGGGGTAAAAGTGCTATCTCAGGCTGTTCAAATCGAACCGATATTGTTAAATCTAATGTTTCATCAATTTTTTCGTTAAAAACTCGATTAAATAAATAAAAACTTAAAATAATTGAATGAAATAAACAAAATACCTGATTGATTATTAGTAGCAATAGTCTTTTTTACTTGTACGGGTTTCTCATCTCTATATTTTTTATGACCATCAGTTCGATTTGTTGGTGACAATAATAATTCGTAATCAGATACATTTTTCTTTATTGGAAGAGAGTCAAATATAAACTGTGACAATTCAACAGCGAATGGTATGGATATATTTAATCGCGTCTTATCTAAATGTATGTTGATACTTTTGTCACCTGAACAAGTTTTTTCGAAGAATAAATCAAATAACGGTGGGGTCAAAACCGAAATATGAACTTCAACTGACGGATCTAACGGACCCATTGAATCAAATATTCTAAAAAAGGATTAATTACTTTATTGTATCACAACTAATAATTTTAAATGCTCCATACATTTTTTCTGATTTATTCAGCTTTCTTGTATCTTCTACTAAACATTTTTGTATGAATGAATTTAAAGTTACTTTATTATCTGAAAACATGTCAATTTTAACGTGAATTTCGTCTAAACTTAATTTACACAATGAATGGTTCATGTCACGTATGGGAGAACTCAGTATCTGAAAATCATTAATAATTAATTTTTATGTTTTTTTTTGTCACTTTCATTTATTTTCTCAGCTCTAATTTTTTTAATTATATGTCAAATTATTAAAATTCGTAACTAGTTGAAGATACTACCCTCAAAAGTTAAAAAAAACTTCCACTTTATCAATTAAAAAGTTACTTAGCCCACATTCTCCATGTGGACAGTTAAAATTATACATTTCTAATGTTTTTAAAGTATTGTCAAATTATGTTTGATATGATAATAGGTTTTAATTATAAAACTAAAAAATTTTATTTTGTAATTTATTAAATTTTAGCTTCGATGCGAAACTTAGAAGGTATTAATTTTACTATTATGTGTTTTTTTTTAATAAATTCCGAAAAAATTTTTTTCCATGACAAAGTATATTACATTAGCTTTAATTAAAAATATATATATAAGTGTCAGACTTCCGGAACACTTTCAAAAGTTTAAATAAAAAAGTTCATTTTTTGTGAAAAAGTTGTCATTTTAAATCCCCCCCTGTGAGCAGGTAAAGGGTTAAATTTATAAAAAAAATATACCAAATGATAGATAAAGACATAAATCATCTATAAAAAGAATTATATTGATTTGTTTATTTTTGAAAAAGTTATGACAATTTTAAGTAAAAAATTTTTTAAAAATTTCGAAAATTAGCGATTTTTAAATTTGTAATTTTTTGGATATTTCCCGATTAACGGGGAACGATGGAAATTTTTTCAATTTTTGAGGGTAATGTCTTTGGCTAGATACGATTTGCGATCTTTTGACGTGTCGTTGAAAGAAATCGGTTCGGTGAGAGCTGAGAAAAAGTGGTAACAGACACAAAATAAAAATAAACACATTATAGTAAAACCAATACCTTCTCAGCTTTGCATCGAAGCTAAAATAATATACAAAAATAGTCAATCTTTGTTGTTAAATTAACTACCATTAAACAGTCTTTTGTACGTACATTTTAATTTAGTTGGGTATCAAATATTAATTAAAAATATAGTTTGAAATGTGTTTTAAACTTTACTTGGGCAACGTTTTTGTATTCAATTATATTTACACTGTATACTTTATTTTTTTGATAATGTAAGATTATGAATACGTGTAGTTAATTTATCATGTCATTTGCAGAATACCATAGAGATAGTTACTTACCATGGTATTTTTATATTTTAATATTTTCACATAACACGTCTTTAATCGTAAATACTATACTCACTATATATATATTACTTCAATTATAATGTTAGTTTTCTTCATTTATAGTGCAGTTATTCGATTAATGCATAAAAACTAAGATATATATCGTACTATTTAAAGGCATGATAGTTTAAATAGTTGATTTTAATAATACTTCAGTATAACACGCTATTATTGACATTTAAGTATAAATAGGCATGGTATAATTATTCTAGATATAGTATGTGATAAATAATTTTAAATAGGAGTTGGTCAGTCATACATTAAAACATTTTTCAATGTATTATTTTCCCCAAAAATTATTTTTGTAAACAGTATAATTCATCAGAGCTGTAACAAGGATTTTTAAACGGGAGTCAGTTAGAAAATTTTCTTACCTAACTATATAATACATGTTTTTGTCAATCACTCAATTTTGGAGATAAATATTGCGTCTAATCAAAAGACCTTAGCTTCTAGCTCCTGTTTCAAAAGGCTATGCTTTTGAAGTTCGGTATTTTACTAATTCACAAAGAATTATTAATAATATTTCTTAGTGCATTGAAAATGTTCAAAGTGTGTATTTATTTCGAAAGAATGAACAAATTTATATGACTTTATTTATATTTTGCGCCTCGGCATCATAAAATATAAAGCTAACATTGGTCAAAGAAGGTAAAAAATACCATTTACTTCTCAAATAAATGAAATAATTTTACTATTTATATTCTTCTTTTATACAACATACTTTTTTTTTTAAATCGGACTACTTTCCTTTATATATTATAAGTATATATATACGCATATATCATACTTATAAATAATAAAATTTGTAATAAGAATATAAATAAGGAATTAGAAGATTATGTAGCTTTTGGAATAATCCACCATTTTTTTAAAATGAAACACTATCTACAGATTTGCATTGAAGCGTTTCTTATGAATATGATTTTAATCACTGTCAGATATCATCTATACTTGATCCAACTATGCCACGTCCCCACTGTGCCGCGACCACACTATGCAGGGTATTTTAATCATAAAATGCATTATGTACTTTAAATTATTGTTGTTAGAAATACTAATGAATAAATTTTGAAAGAAAAAAAATTATATTCAAAATATAAATAAAATACGAATAAACATGAAAAATTATGATATAATATTTTACTCTTATTGAGTAAATATCTGCTTACAAATTTAAAGTGTTAATGGCTTGAANTCTTATTGAGTAATTATCTGCTTACAAATTTAAAGTGTTAATGGCTTGAAACGGAACCTAAGTACTTTTTAATAATATAACCTACTTCAAAAATTTAAAACTAAATTTATTTCATCATGTATTATAGTACTTTACTAAAATTAATATATTATTTGATTTACCTCGTCAGAATTAGCAAACAAAGATATTTGCAAATTATCTAATGTAAATTTGAAGTCTACATCATGATAAGAATCCTCCCGGTTAAAAAAGACTTGTGNAAAGTCTACGTCATGATAAGAATCCTCACGGTTAAAAAAGACTTGCGTTCTACTTAAATCTTGATCTTCTAATTTTTCACTAATATGTGGTAAAAATAAACTCAACATTTCATGAATACAATTTCCAGACTCAAAATTTTCAGCCCAAACATGTAAAAATGTGTCAAAATCTTTCTGTCCTAAATTCATTTCTATGTTATCAATACTACCATTAATATAGTATAACATTTTATTTGTTGAATTTCTCTTTATATCCAAACGAATACCAAAAGGTTCAACCATAGGTTCCTACAATAACATTACACTATAATTTGAATCAGCACTAAAAACTAAAAACACTAAACTGAATAATTAATATTACTTGAATAACTAAAGTTCCATCAAGAGTCATTATTGCTCTTGATACATTTATACAGTCCCATTTAGCCAAAATATTATCAACAATTCCTGAACCATCATTATCTTTTTTCACTTGCTCTTTAAAGAAATTTTCTACTGAAAGATCTCCCATATTACATAAAATAACATTTGGTGATGTAGAATTTTGAGGGAACAATACTACTGGACAGTTAAGTAAAATTGAAAGATGTATTTTATTTTTCCATCCATTTCTAAGTTTTGGTACATGTGGTGAAATTATTTTTCTTAAGCATCGACCAAAATCTAAAATTTCTTCTGAAATTATGGGATCTATAAAATACTTTAAACCAAAATAATCAAATATTAATATCATAGAATTATTTCTTATAATAAAATAAAAACCTGAAAATCCAACAAAACATTGCATAGAATAGTCATATGTAATCTGCCTAAATTCAATTTAACGCTACCGTCAAATTTAATATTTTCTTTGACCTCATCAATGTTTGTTTTGTAGAAACGAGGATTATGACGAACATATTTGAATTCAAGTAATTTGTCTTCGTCTGTATAAAACAACTAAAGATATAGTGTAATTAGAATTATTTTTAATACAACGAGCAAGAAATATATTTATTTCAAAACAAACCTTTGGATAAAGTGTAATATCAGACAAATCATCAATACTCATATCCATTGCGTACAACCGAAAAATCATTCTATCGTTTGCTTTAAAAGTACAGTCACTCTCCAAACCACCCAACTAAATAAAATATTAAAAAAATAATTAATTTTTATTTATTGTTTCACAAATAATGTTAATCTCACCTTTACATCAAGAAAATCTAACCCTGCATCACATATTATCATATTCATTTGACTGATCCGAGCAGAATAGCTAAATTTAGTAGAACCAGGTGGTACAGGTGAGTCATCACCAGTAAAATACTCATTAAACATTTTTTGAAAATAGTCTGATGTTAATACAGAGTTAGTCCGTCTATTGCTAAATCTAAAATACCAAGAAATTAAACATTAATTTTAAAGTAAAATAAAATAAATTAAACTCACTTTTTCGTAATGTACTGTAAATATTTATAAAATGTTATAATAGAAATTCTATGACACGATAAAATAAGATGATCTATATCTAGCACCAAGGATTTTTCCACACTATGGAAATGACTTTTAAAGTCTGGACAGTTGGCTTTAACCTATGAAGTAAAAAATATATTAAGATAAGTTTTAAAGTAAATTTTAACTGGAATGAAACAAATACCTTTCGATAAAGTAAGTTAATTGAATCTTGCGTGGGTGTTTCAGAATTGATTAGAAGCATTCGTACATTTTCATTATTCTTACATATATGCTGTAAATCAGTCAAATTCATGGATCCAATAGAAATTTGTATTGCTGGACCATATTCCATAATAGCCACATCACAACAAAATCGTTTAGTTGTAAAATTCAAGTATGATTTTTCCAACTTGTTACTAGAACGATGAAAATTTAATGACATCTAAACATACAGAGATAGAATCATTATCCAATTGGAAGTAATAATTATACTTTATAAAAATGCTTACTTCTCCTATAATAAATCTAAACAGTGAAGTAATTGTATTATTTGGTGAAACATTATCGTCGAATCCAGGTAGGTCTACCGTACGAGCCCATAGCTCAGCAAATTCCTCGTCACTCATTTCGGATGACACGAAACTCCTTTTTAATAATAATAATTATTATTAAAACAAATACCGCTCTAATTTTATCAATAAAAACTAACTTTCTATCGATACTTTTCAATAATTTCTTTACATCAGTTCTTTCTTCTATTGTATTAAAACACACACCCTTAGTCTTTTGATATAATGCTAATGTGGATTTTAATTCTTTTAATTCCTCTTCGCTATTGTGTAAATTAATCTAATGTAAAAATGAATTTATAAATTAATAATAAATTTATAAAGAATACATATTAATAATATAATTGAAATTACAGACCCGGTCTAACAAATATATCTCATCATCATCACTGTAATGTCTTTTTAAAGTTGCCGATGACACATGATTAACAGGCAAAGGAGTATTCTCAATAAAATCCAGTATAGAGCTTATTTTTCGATCAGATATGTTGAATTTTATATTTTGTACTACAATATTTATTTTTCTTTTAGCTAATTGTTTATACTCTGGTTTTATGCTGTTGGAAACAACAAATTGTGTACAAGTTTTCGCAATTATATGAGAAGACGAGTCAACTTGATTTTTCAGTGCTCTCCAATCATTTCCTACCGGAAACATTAAACATATTCAATAAATTACATTAATAAACGTGACTCAATTAAGATATATTTAGTTACAGATATGAAATTTCTGAGAGGATGCGATCAATATTAATCGTGCTCAAATAATAAACAATAAAAATACCACTATTTTTTTAAAAATTTGAGATGGGGTCAAGGAAACCCGTCCTCATAATCTAAGCCATTTTGTAAATAATTAGTTCCCTTCTAAGTTAGTAATTAAGTATTTCATAAATTTAACATTACATAACAATATTAATGATATTTTTGTAATATCAACCAGAGCTAGAAACCGAGATAATGTCTATTTTTCCAAATTTTTAATTATATTTAGTAACTTAGTTGACCTATATAATTTTTTTCAAATTGTTTTTTACAAATCATTTTTCAAATGATTTGTAAGTTAAATAATTGTAGAAACTAATAGTTTACAAAATTGTTTTAGCTTCGATGCAAAGATGAGATGATATTAATTTTACCATGATGTGTTTATTTTTTTTTTTTTGTCTATCACTATTTTTTCTCAGCTCTCACTGGACCGATTTTTCTCAACGATACGTCAAAAGATCACAAATCGTATCTAATTGAAGACATTACCCTCAAAAATTGAAAATGTTACCGTTTACAAATGGTAAAAATCATTCAAAAAATAAGGATTTTTAAAATTGGTAAATTTCGACATTTTTAAAAAATTTTTCTAAAAATTTCCATAGCTTATTGAAAAATGAACAAATTTTCGATTTTAAATTTTCAACATTACATTGCTTTAATTTTTCGAAAATTGTATGTAGCAACACAAATTTTTGTTTCTAAATACATTATATATACCTCTTTCACGCGACGTATTTTTTTTTTTAAATCAAGCAATATCTCCTTATACAAGGGGCGTGATTTTAATTACTTTCAGATATCATCTATACATGTCCCAACTATGTCACGACTCCACTGTGCGTATTTTAATCATAAAGTGTGACTTTATAAATTTTAATAACTAAAATTAACCAATATGTTTTTATTAGCTTCAATGCGAAACTGAGAAGGTATTAATTTTACTATGAGGTTTTTTTTTTTTTTTATGTCTGTTGCCACTTTTTCTTAGCTCTCACTGGACTAATTTCTTTCAACAATACGTCAAGAAATCACAAATCGTATCTAGTTGAAGACATTATTCTTAAAAATTGAAAAATTTTCCCTCGTTCCCAGCAAATGGGGGAAATATCCAAAAAAATTACAAATTCAAAAATCGGTAAATTTTGTCATTTTTCTCACTTTTTTTTCTTAAAACTTCCATAACTTTTTCAAAAATAAACAAATCAACATAACTTTTTTTATATACTAAAACCTTAGATATTTTCCTTTCATTTGATATCATTTTTTTGAAAATCTAACACTTAACCTGCTCATTGGGGGGATTTAAAATAGCAACTTTTTTACAAACACTAACTTATTCAACTTACTTTTTGAAAATGTTCCGGAAATACTGTGTCCTTTAAACATATATCAAATTAAAGCTTACTTTATGTACTATAAAATGAAAAAAAAAATTTGTCTCGACACTTTATCTTCTGCATGTAAACGGCTGCCGTAGTTAAAAAAACACTAATTTTGTGTTAAAATTTTCGATTTTAAATTTTCAACTTAAAAGTGCTATAACTTTTCGAAAAATGTAATTATCAACACAAATTTTTTTTTCTAAATACATTATAAGTACATCTTTCATTTGACATACTTTTTATTAAAATTGTACAATTTCCTCATATATAAGGGGCGTTCAAACTTGAAATATTGTATAAAAAATAAAACTTTTTCAACTTAACTTTTGAAAGTGTTCCAGAAATACACCGTCCTTTAAACATATATAAAATTAAAGCTTATTTTATGTACTACAAAATGAAAAAAAAAAAATTTGTCCCGACGACCTATTTTCTATGCGCAAATGGCTACCGTATTAAAAAATATGTTATTTTTCTATTAAAATTCTAGGTTTTGTATTTTATTTTACTTTAATATATCTTATTATGAGAATATATTGACTTTCATGAATATTATATAATTTAATTGACATAGAATAAAGGTCATAAGACATAAGAAATTAAACTTATTAAATTTTTTTACTTTTTTATTTTCATACTAAATTTAATAATTATAATTAGTATTTATTCATATATTATATTTTAAAATCAAAGAACTACTAATCAGGATATAATTAAAGAAATAAGAGTTCNCTAAATTTAATAATTATAATTAGTATTTATTCATATATTATATTTTAAAATCAAAGAAATACTAGTTGATTTTGCTTTTGGAATAATCCACCAATTTCTCTAAATGAAACACTATCTACAGATTTGCATCGAAGCGTTTCTTATGATAGTGATTTTAATGACTGTCAAATATCATCTATACTTGTCCCATCTATGCCTTGTCTACACTGTGCCTCGACCCCACTGTGCTACCGTTTTTTTTTTTTGTTAATTTCAGGTTTTAAAGTTAAATTTTAATTCCAATTAAGGATTGAAAGACAATTTCTCAATATTTTTAGTTTCTGTAATCATTTTTCCAACATATACCAAAAAAAAAAATTCAATATAGATGTACTAATTCACTAGATACAAAAAAAATTGCTGAAAAGAGAAATTATTTCGGTTTCTAGCTCTGATTGTAGCAATTATATAAACTAAGTATTAAAAGTAAATTAAATTTGATACACATTTGTTCATCACTCGTGACTAATACTATAAAAATTTGTATTATTCTCATTTACCTGAATTACAAAATATAAGCTGAAATCCATCTATATCAATATAATATCGATCATAAAGCTTTTCTTCCATTTCCATTTGAGTTACATCTTCAAAACAAATGGAAGATGGTTGTAAATCACTTTTGACTTTAACTCCGCCGAAATCCAATATCATAACATTTTCTCCTCTTTGATAGTTTAATTAAAAATCGAATCATGACAAATCAAAATTAGTGTAAATAAAACAAATACTCACTTTTGAATAGAGCCAAATTCCGGTAAAACAATATGAGGTAATTGTAGATCCAAATTCAGCAGTATCTTTCTGTACTTTGATTCAGGTCTATTCGAGTTGAATATGTTGTTAAATTTAATAAGAATGTTATTATATATATTTTCAATAGTATTTTCAATGTTAACTTGTTTATTAAAATAGAAGAAACTTAATAATGCGGATATAGCAAACTGTCAAAATATATAATATTATATTATAAAAATAAATTGAAAAATAGTTGTTAATTTCATAAGTTTACTTCGTGGTAGACAAACTCTACTGGCTCTGATGTAGCACTCAATCCGTACTCTGCGTCGGAATTAAGTGGATTTTTTTCAAAGTCGACACTCAAGAAATATTTTGATGAAGCTCCTAATACCATATTGTATAATTTATATAAATTATTATATAAAATATGTCCGCACTTTTAAGTGTACTTGGACTTATTCAAAAAATATATATGGTTTGATAAATATAGAATTTAATATCTACCCCTCATAGCACATGTATCGATAATAGGAACCAAACTATATTCAACAGAAGCCTCGACATTTATACTTTCAACACGTGTAGAAATCTTGTAGGCTTTTGCTGAAGGTCTTGTTTCAATACTACTCATAAGGTGACCTATAGTTATCACCATTAATTCGTTAGTACCACTTATGAGACTAATCAAACAGTTGGCGATAGTAAGATTGAATTTATGTTCTAGAAGAAATTCATAAGGATATTATTTATTACTTGCAAGTAAAATTATAAAAAAAACTATACTCTATACCTATATATTGTCTCGGTTTGACACAACATGTAATGTCTTTTCCTTCAGTTCTGCCTAAAATATCGTTTAAACGATCTTTTTCTGACTGATTGAGCAAATTCCAAAAAGTTTTGCTCTTTTCGCATGTTAAGTAAAGTCTATACTTAGGTTTAGAATTAATTAAGCCCCACCATTTTGATTTTATCTCTTGAATTATAACGCTTTCTGGATTTTCTTCAAATAGCTATTTTAAAATGAAATATTAACAGTTATTAAATATGTATATTACAAGGTAAAATTTGGAAGACACATAAGATAATAATCAATTTTGAGATAATTTTTTCACAATTTTCTACTTTATTCACTTAATTAAATATGGAAAACATCGTATAAAAAATTTTTTATCACTTGTGGTTAATAATATTTAAAAAATANCATCGTATAAAAAAATGTTTATCACTTGTGGTTAATAATATTTAAAAAATAATTTCAAACTAAAAATATTAAAATCGTTTAACTTAAAAAATCAAAAAAGTACTAAAAAATCGCGTATATGTATTTTGAGAATAACATTACTATCATAACCGTTAAACAAATACACTTTTGAGTTAAATATTTTTAGTTTTAAACTAATATTTAACATATTTTTTTAATTTAAATATTTTGAATATCATTTGAAATGTTCAGAGTAACTTTCATGTACTTTTTATGAAAAATAACTAAAAATACGAAAGTAATATATAAGCAAATTTAATTGAAAATAGTTTCTTTACCTAATTTTAGCATTAATATTTTGTATTCGAAAGATGAGAAATTATGCTAACAAGTATTTGAGCCTATAAAATTATTAACTATAATTAATTAATAATAAATAATCTGTGTTCCATTGTAAAACTGGGAGGCTTCTTCCTTACACTTTCTATGGAAAATAAAATCGTATACCAAGATTTCTTCATTTTAAGTATATTCTAATTATTCGTAAAATTTAAAGTTCTTTAAATGCAATATATTCTTTAAATTAAATGTACACAACTTTAAAAGTTTTGGCACCTTTATGGTTTTTACCACTAAAAATAATTTTTTCTAAATTTCGCTTTTTAATTTTATTTCTAATGATGCCTTAGAAAACATACAATATTGAAATTGTATTATATATGTCAAAATTAGACAAATGAAGCAAACAGTTTTTATAAAATAGATCAATACATTTTAAAAATTAAATTTTGCTTATGTGTAGTCAAACTTTTAGTTGGTATAATTATTAATAAATATGTTAATATTTTTGATTATAAGACTAATAGGTAATGTTTAACCTGTATATATAAATAAGTTTATTTTAATAATATTATTTCACCTCAACTTTAGCCTGCTCTCGTGCTAATACTAAATTAAAAATATCCAATTCGTCTTCAAGCATTTGTAAATCAAGTTTCGTTTCAGTATCGTTAGGATTTAATAATACTTTTTTATACACATTAATGTAGTTCTTATAGTTTTTCCTTTAAAATAAAAATGTCAATATCAAACCATTTATAAATTAGCATATCTTATGTATTATCCTTTAAATAAAGTTCAAAGTTACCTATGCTTCTGTATTTTTGACCAGAACATCNTAATGTAGTTAAAAGTTACCTATGCTTCTGTATTTTTGACCAGAACATCGTTACTCTCTGTTGTAGAACGCTCTGGTATGCATACAACCACCAACTTTTTGTATTTTCAGAAATATTATTTTTTGGTCGGAAACAACGATAGGATCTATTAAAGATTTTAAAATGATTGTAAGTTGATTTATTTTATCTAAGCAAAGTTTCATACCTATTAATGTCTGCTAGTTTCATCAATGCAACTATTTCCATAATTGCAACATATTGTTTTCTAGATAGCTGGAAAGCTGCGTCTTGTAGTACAAAGTCCACTAATAGTTTGGGAACTCGTACTTCGTTTGATTTGTTAACAATTATTTTAATTTTGAGTACTATTGGTTTTAATACTACAAACATAATATTAATTATCATTTGTACTTTAATGTTAGCTATTTAGACATTATAATATGACACTAACTAAATTCAAGTGATTCGTTGTCTATGTTGAAATTATTTAAACCAGATCTCATCTTTTCCTGCCAATTGGGTGCTACTGTTTTATTGATGTGTAATAAATTTGAGCATAACGTGTTGCAATAAACTGAAGCTGAATCAACTTTAACGATCTGATATACAGATGACTGGCCACGTTGTTGAGATAAAATCGGTTTCCATTTACTTTAACAAACAACTTGTACATTTAAAAGCCATTATATTTTAAATGTCATAAAAGTACCTATTCGTGGTTTCAAGCGAAATAGATTGAACACAAAGACCAAAAGCACGAGGTGAATCTATATTAGAAATGGTGTCTTCAAATCGTATATGAACTCCTTTTATATATATTTGTAGATTATTCATTACAGTTGTCATAAGAGTTTCCAAAAAACCTCCATTTTCCATAGGCGCTAGAAATTTAAAAAAACTTATACAATTTTCATTAAAGTATAAATATTCATTTCCAATTATACCATTTCCAAATATTGAAGTGCTCTCTATATTATCTAAAATTTTTTTTTTTGCTGCCCTTAACAGGCGCTTTTCTAGTTCTGTATTCCATTCTCTATCTATAACTTGACCAGCTAAAATAAATATTTCCTAAAGAAAAATTTTTAATATTTTTAATATTTTATGATACAAATTTAATTGTTAATTCTTGATGTTAAGAATAATTCTTAATAATTATTATTAAAATGTCAAACTAATAATACTCATCGAATTTGTAATACATGAACAGAAAAACAAACATAAATAAATTTTAATAGTTAATATAAAAAATTTCTTTTATTATTAATTCAGCATAAAAATTTGAAAATTTATTGTTAAATAAAGTAGACGCGTAAAAGTTTTTCTTCTAGTATAATCGTTGTGTTAGATTTCATTACTGTATTAACAATATTTTAACTAATTATAGACTATAGTAAAATAAAAAATAGCTTTTTATTTTAATGATTAATTATTTCTTACTTCAATTTTGACAATTATTGGTTGATTCGAGAGTCCATTCCACGGGATGTTCACATTGAATTTACCCACTGAACCGGCTTTTACTTCAATGGGTAGACCAAGTTCATACTTAATAACAGGATAAACATTTCAGTATTAAGAAGAAAAAAAATTGTATTTTTAGTATCATGATAAACTATCCTAGGATACTTACCAATGCTTCAGTTTTCAATTTCAAATTTGATAGTAACACATTTCCACTAAATATTCCAACATTTAAATTTTCTAAATCTAAATCCTCTATGTATTTACCTAAATATCTATTTAACAACGATGCTACTATTCCTTCAAACATAGTTTCAATCTACTATACTACAATAAGTTAACTATATAAACACAAACATTTCTTTAATTCTTACATTTTTTGTTAATATTATCGTTTTAAACGACTACAAGTGAATAAGTTCCGTATGGAACTATAAAATAAGGCGAGTGGAGAACCCTGGCGAGGAGCTTTGAAAGTTCAGATGTTATTGATCCATTGAAACACGTGGAAGTAGCCGCGTTGACGTCATTCTCAACCGATAATTTATACAATCAAATTATATTTTGTTGGAAAATGAATTTAAAACAAAATCATTTATATAAATATACAACTTTAATCGTAATTCAAGAACATCAAAAAGTAAACCCAACCCAGTAAAGTCTGGATGGGACATAGTAGAAATCAATATAATATTAAAATCAGTGAATTAAATTATTATAATAATAAACGCTACAATGTAAGTCTGAAGATTATATTTTATTTTTAATAGAGATTTTTGAATTGTTAAAAGTCAGCCAATTTATAAATTGGCTTAAAAAATTTTTAAAAATTGTTGTTATAATATCAACAAAAATTGACTATCATTGTTAAAATTTATTACTTTCCTAATATTTTAATAGTACGATATCATCACTAGAAAAGATAAAAAAAATAAAAGAAAGTTCGATTATTTTGATCTTTGTTAGAAAATTATAATTTTAGTTGAAAAAGTTTTATTTATTACACATATTTTTCAAGTTTTTAACCTTCCAATATAAGGGGAAATGGTCAGACTAAAAAAAAAATATGTCGAATATATAAGAGATATGTATTAAGTATTTATAATAAAAATTTAATGATTAATATATTTTTTGAAAACGTATAGCAATATAAAGTTAAAAAAATAAAATAAAAATCGAGAATTTCATCACAAATATAGAGAGATGATCAAAAATTTTGATAGATACGAAAATAAAAATAAAAGGAGCACAGTGAAGTCGTAGCACAGTATAGACTTGTCATAGATAGAAGAAGTATAGATAATATCTGATAGTGATTAAAATCACTATCATAAGAAACTCTTCGATGCTATCTGTAGATAGTATTTAATTTTTTTGAAGGAATTGTTAAATTATTCCAAAAGCAACATCAACTCCTATTTCCTTAATTATATCCTGATTAGTAGTTCTTTGACTTATAAGTATAATATATATGAATAAATACTAATTATAGTAATTAAATTTAGTATGAAATTGATATTCAATAATTTAATATTGCATATTTTGTTATTTTTCTGGCAAACGTGTATAAAAATTGAAAGGATTGATGCAAAACTTTTCCCAAAATAATTTTTTGTTAAGTATGAACTTGTCTATTAGGAATTTCAGAATCAAAAAATTACTTTTCTTCTTCAATTTTTTACACTGTATTTAAATCTGCATTAGATTTTTCTATCATCTTTAATTTTTGAGATTATTAATAATTAGTAAAAAAACAAATATTTGATATAAAAATATATAAAAAAAAAACTAGGTTAAAATGAATTAAAAGTTAAAAATCAATAACACACCAACGGACAAAATCATTGGTGAAACTATGATGCAGTATATTTTTAATTATTAGTATATTATACCGTTATATTAATATAACTGTACCGAATATAGTTCTGAATATTTAAATATAGCATATTTTTAAATACTAAAAGTTTCGTAGAAATGATAACTATTATTTTTATTGAAATGATTTAATTCAATATTAATACGAAAAAATTATGATTCAAATAGCTTAAATTTAAGTAAAAATAACAACTTGAAAAACCGGTGATTATTATATTAAAATAATATATTGTCTAACTTCTAATCATTTACAAGGTTTGTTAAAAAATAACAAGAATTTTCGTTTTTAGAAAAAAATATTTATTTATTAGTCTACATTAATGTCATCGCCTTTAAAAAAAGTCCCCATTAGATATTATGCAGTTGTGCCAACGCTTCTTCCAATCTTCGAAACACTTCTTAAAATCGATCTTTGGGATAGCCTTCAGAACATTAAGCGATGCGCTATTAATGTTATCTATGATTGTAAAACGACGGGCATTTAACATTCTCTTTATTTTTGAAAATAAAAAAAGTCACACGGAGCCATGTCTGCCGAATATGGACTGAGGCATCGTTACAGTATTCTTTTGGTTAAAAATTCACGAACAAGCGATGAAGTGTGAGCAGGTGCATTATTACGGTACAAAAGCCATGAATTCTTTTACCACAAATCCGGGCGTTTTTCGGATTGCTTCACGAAAACAGCGTTGAACTTTTAGGTAGTACTCCTTATTGACTGTTTGACCCCCTGGGAAGAATTCATAATACACAATGCCATTAAAATCAAAGAACACAATGAAAATAACCTTCACGTTCGATAGCAATTATCGAGCCTTTATGGTCTTCATGATCCAGAATGCCTCCACTAGGACGATTGAGCATTAGTTTCGACGTCGTATCCATAAACCCATGTGACGTCACCTATTATAACACGTTTCAGTAATTCTGCAACGTCAATGACTTCATCAAGTGACTTCTAAGCAACTTTCATTCGCTGCTGTTATTATTTAAAATTCAAAAATTTTGGAACAAGTTTTACTGCTACGTGTTTCATACCCAAAACATTTAAAAGTTTCATGGCATGAGCCAATCGATATTCCAACTTTATCAGCGACTTCTTTGATTGTGATTCGACGATCATTCACAATACTTTCACTTTTTCCACATTTTCATCGGTTGTTGATGTGCTAGTACATCTGGGACGTTCATCATCTTTAATATCTTCAATCATCAACATCTTTGAAACACTTATCCATCCCTCGAAATTTAAAAATTCCCGTTATTTTCTGAACACATCTAGTACATACAGAAGACAAGTTGTCAGGACAAATTTTGTTTCTTTTACTTATAGTATGTAACATAAGCTTTAATATAAAATATGTTTAATATTCGTAGAAATGCCGGAACATTTTCAAAAGTTATGTTAAAAAAGATAAATTTTTATGCAAAAGTTGTTATTTTGAATTCCCTCGTAGGCTAAAAGATCAGATTTTCAAAAAAATTATATTAAATAAAAGAGAAACATCTAAAGTGTTATATATAATAAAAAAATATTTTATTTCGTTTGTTTACAAAAAAATAATCACAGTTTTATAAAAAAAGACAAAATTTACAGGTTTAAAAAATTTTAATTGTTTGGAAATTTTCACCATTTAAAGAAAACGAAAGAACTTTTTCAATTTTTAAGGGCAATGTCTTCAACTAGATACAATTTGTGCTCTTTTAACGTAAAGTTAAAAAAAATCTGTCCTGTGAGAGCTGAGAAAAAGTGATGACAGACATAAAATACATCATAGTAAAATTAATACTTTCTCAGCTTCTAATCTAATATTAATTTGATACCTTTATAAGGTATAAGAGATAAACCGAAAAATTACTTAATAATCGAGTCAAAAAATATCTGCAATAAAAAACAAAAAAATTTCAAAAGTTTGTTTTATTTTATTCGTAAGTGAGTGGGTTATAATAAACGGATCATCCTATTGATATCATACCTACATCTTTGTCGTAAAGGTTTAAATAGTTTTCAACCACTGCAAAAAGAAGAACTTCACTCTTCTACATTTTTCAACTTTTATGATTTTATATCAATAAAGTATTCATTCAATTTTTTACTGGAATTACCATTGAGCTCTTTTTTTTCGCATTTCAACGATCAAAATCGTAATTTTGGTGTACTAACTTTACCCACAAGTATTAATAAATTTATACTTACAGAGGCAAATTTTCAACATATTCCTGGGGTCTTGATGTCATTTTAAATTATATNTTCTGGGGTCTTGATGTCATTTTAAATTATATAAATCCTTGAAAAATTTAACAATCAAAATCATTTCTAATGGCGATTACTATTGT